AGGGAGGGAGAGAGAAAGAAGGGAGAAAGAGAGAGAGAGCGAAAAAGAGAGAAAAAGAAGGAGGGAGGGAGAGAGAGAGAGAGAGGGAGAAAGAGAGAGGGAGGGGGAGGGAGAGAGAGAGAGAGAAAGAGAAAAAAGGAAAGATTTTTCCAATTGTAACTTTAAATATCTCCTCCTAGGAAAATGTATTTGCACAATGTGCCACAAAACGCCGTGTACTGTGCTGTGATTGGACGCCCCGTGCTCCATGCAGAGGGCACTAGGCTCAGATCTATCGGAAGTCTCCTGGAATTGATACTTTAATACTTCCATACCTGACTATAGGGACTCGTATAGTAGAATGATCTATGACCCTCATTATCTATCCGGGATGTAACTGCTCTGCAGAACAAACCACCATGGCTGGTAGGATACAAATTGATGGTCGGTACACACGGGGGCCCTCCGGCATTTTTCAGCCGGGGCCACCATTTTTCCTGTCTCAAGGCGACAGAGCGGACCCGCTGCGACTGGCGCACATCTCTCTTCATAATGAAGCAGTCTCCCGGATTTACAGGTCAGCTCATCAATGTGGGTGCTGTCACCTTACAGGGCAGAGGTTAACTGCTTCATTCACCCACGCCACCAATCAGCATGAGCGATCGCCGTCCTGTGCCGTGTCCTTGTTAATTACCTTTGTAGGTGATAGAGAGTTCTATTAAAACAAAGAAAAGAAACAATGAATCACCGCCGGGCTTGTTCATCACAACTGCGCCTTCGCTTCTCCGATCATTGGGGAGTATAGGAGGCAGATGTGAGAAATGAAGAGTTTTCTTAATGGGAAGCTATGTCATTGGTGAGCACACATATTGTCATAGTCGTCCTGTGTACATCTAAGCTCCGCTAGTTCCACAACAGCTGGAGCGCCGAGGTTGCCTGCCCCTGCCCCTGCCCTACACTCCCAGTATCTGTACAGCAGGGGTGGGCAAACTCCAACTGTGGTGAAACTACATGTCCCATAATGCCTCTTCCGCTGGGGGGTCTTGCCTATTGGCAGGGCCAGATTTACTCTCTCTGCTGCCCCAAGGCCAGGTACCTCAATGGGCCCCACTACCCCCCAATGGAGAATGGCAGACCTGCAGGCTGCATACAAGTGATCTCAGAGATATTGACTAGATCACTTGTACAAAATAAGCGGCAGCTTCCCCGCTGTACATTTAGCTCTGCTTGCCCAAAGCAGGGCTAAATGTAGGAAACAACTACCCACCGGGCGCTCGGAACTGCATCTCTAGTCTTCCTGGTTGGGCGGCTCTGGTCATCATTCAACCCAGAAGACTGAGGACATCCTGTGGCAAAAAAGATGTATTACAGGAGACAGCTCGGAGCCTGGAATTGGCCTTTGTAGGGACATGAAATGTGTTTTTCAGTACTTTTCTTTTATGTTCAGGTTATTAACCCTCACAGCTTCAAGAATGAGCTATTTAACCCTTTTATAGCCAACTGCTGGCAATTGCATGTCTGGTACGCCAGGATTTCAAAAAGATGGCGTACTGCCGTCAGGTGAGTACAGAAGTGACTTGCAAGATCTCAGGTTATGCACAGTTGAATGACTTAGAGGAGGAACCTTTCCACCCTTCCCTTTTTATCCTCTCCACATACAGATTGCAGTCTATAACAGAGGCAAACTCCGGCCCTCTAGCTGCAGGGAAACTACGAACCCATCATGTATCGGTCTCTGGGAGTCATGCCTGTGATCCCCCCTCAGCAGGCCGCGGTAAAATTATCAAACGTTGACCGGTCCACGGCGATAAAAATGTTGGGGAGCACTGTTTTAGAGCCCATACAGCTGCAAATACCTTTCCACTACACCTGCTATTTGAGGTATTTCTCTATGTGGCATACCTTGAATAGCAGGTGTATTGGAAGGTATTTGTAGCTGTAGGGGCTTTAAAAGACGCAGGACTGAAGAGAGCAGGCTGATCCTCCGAATGCAAGGCTCTGTGCATCAATAAGGGCCAAATGACCTCTTGTAATTCTGAGGTGATGGCATTAAATTGCAGTGCCCCAAAAACCTCATCAGAGAAAGGCTGTGTGGACTTGTAGTCAGGCCTGTTCTAAGGATCAGAGATGGACTCTGCAAGGCAAAGGTGTAGGAGAATGTTTGGAGCCTCTGCGGTCATTATCCATGAGGAGTAGGGCGAGTTGTCCAGTCTTGTGTGACTGCAGTAGAGGGCCAACAGGGTAGGGCACCCACCCTAACGCAGCGGAACCAAAAAAAGATGTGGTAGACCCAATTACAAGGGATGCAACTATGCTCAAGGTACGAATTAATGTTGCAAGCACTCAAACCCAAGCAGCTGGTGGCTATGGAGTGTTGAATGCCCAGAGGTGACTAACTCACTGAAAGGTGCAGGACAACGGACAAGAGATCCAAGCGCCATGTGGCGCCTTTGCAAAACATGAGCCTTGGTGGGACGATGCTACCACTGCTGAATGTCAGGACAGTGCATGGCGTAGGAACGAGACACTCTACCCAGTAAATTGTCAGCACTGAAAGTGTTCCATGGTCAACGTCTACCATTACTTAAAGTCCAGATGGTGCCACTAACGGAACCCAGTGCCCGAAGGTCACGCCCAGTTATGGCACACCAACGTCAGGTTGAGGCAGAGTTGATTTTGATAGCCGTCATGCCAAGACCAGCTCAAGCAGCTTTGTAGTGAAAAATCCTGAAGTCAGCACAGCACTTCCTAGTGTGGGAAGGCACGTAAGCATACTGTGCCTACAGCAGTGGTGGTCAACGTGCACTGCACATTAAAGGGTGTCATGCGTGGATCCAAGACACTTCCAGAGGTCTGAACAATAGCAGCTTGTGCCCATGTGTTAAAATGCATTGTATGAAGTTTAGCAGCCCATGGGCTTAGTATAACTCACCTGAAAATTCTGAACCTGCTTTTTTTTCCCTCTCACTGTGAAGTGGCAGTAATCTGTACCTCAGCTCTGGTGTCCAGGACTGCAATAATACCCACATACTGTAGGCGGTCAGTGTTATGTAATTTCAACCCTTCAATGGTAGTCCATGACAATGTTATATAACCCCCAGTGGCAGTGCCGTTAGCCCCCCTGGCACAGTAAATATCCCCTTCGCCCTGCATTGGTCGGTCACAGCGCTGTTAACCAAACCCGCCCCCCGGAAAAAAAAAAACACTGGCTATCAGTAAAAAAGTTAAAACGGTCACGTCAATGACAAACAAGGTATAGGCACTTCAGAGTGACCACTAATTTGGTGGTCAGCAGTTTAGTGACCTCACATTTGGTGGTCAGGGAAGAATTTAATTTGTACTCACTTTCATGCTTTTACCCAGGCTGGCTCAAGTTAGGCAGGTGCCCAACCTATAAGCCACAGAAATTTGGGGATTCTGTTTTGTGGAAGGATGAAACAAAACTGGAACTTTCAGCCCCATTGATCAGCAGGCAGACTGGAGGAGAAAGTATGAAGCACGGGCTGAAAAGAACACCCTGCCTAGTTTAGCATGGTGGTGGCTCTGTATTGTTTTGCATCCTCTTGCACTGGAAACCTGCAGCGTGTGGAAGGCAAAAATGTATTCATTGAAGTATCAGCAAATCCAAGGAGAAAAACATCATGCCATATGTGATCAAAGGAGAATTATGAGGCGAGTCATTGTCTGAGCCAACTTGTGACAATGAAATTGTCACAGGTCGGCTCAGTAGATTGGGAAGTGAGTGAACACATACCGTTGCTCGCTCACTATTTATCCATCCATCCATGCATGCATGCATGCATGCATGCATGCAGAGAGCCGTGACTTGTCACTCACTGACTGGCAGAATGGACAGGGGCGGGTACAGCTGGCTCTGCCTCTAGATAGGCAGAGATAGCCGTCACTCACGCAGCTGGGCAGATCCAGACATAATTGTCGGGATCCGTTCCTGCGTCTCAGTATACGGCGAGTTGTAGCTCCCTATATACTGAGCTTTGGGTGACGGGAGGACGCTAGCTTGTGTCCTCCCGTTACCCTTCGGAGAACTATGGGGCAAAGCCCTGACCCCCATAGTTCACCTTTAAGCTGAAGCTTGGGTGTCATTGGACCTTGCAAAAGGACAGTGATCCCCAGCAAACCTCAAATACCACTCAAGGCTCTGTTGCAGAAGAGGTCCTGAAAGATTCTTCACTGGCCATCACAGTCACCGGACTTGAGATCAAAAATCTCTGGTGGGATTTGAAGGCAACGGTTGCAACATGCAAACTTAAGAAAATTAGAGCGCTGGAGGCCATTGCTCATGGAGGAATGGGCTAAGATTCCCCAGAAGCTGGTGTCTGGCTATGCATCACATTTGCAGCAGGTCATTACAGCAACTCTGCTAAGTACTAAAGAAGCTTGCCATGAAGGGGTTGAATTCAGAGACTACAGAAGTCAGTCATAAACAGTTGAATTCGGGGAAATCACTTTCAACATTTGTTGCGTTGACCTATTTGAAATTGCTTTGGTTTGATTTGTTCATTGCAAACAGCTGAAAGGTTGCAAATTTTGCCAATTCACCTGATTTGCAATGGGGGGGGGGCAATCATTCATTACAATTGTAAGTTAAAATAGAAAGAAAAAAAAAAAAAACAGCTTTGTCTTTAGACATATGTGCAGACTACCCGGCAAAAGGAAAATTAACCTTGAACATCATTCTATTCCAGGACACTTGTTAGGAATCCCAGCCATCTTCAAGACAGCAACTTTATTTTTAATACAAACAAATAAAACAGGTAGCAGCATCTCTAGAAGTTTTTTTTAAACAATTGGGACAGATTGTATAAAGGAAATAAAAATAGAGAAAAAAAAAAGTAAAGATTGCACACTGACAAGTACACCTGACAACCGGAAGAACTCTACAGAGGCCCCTCCCACAACGCATCACTTTCCTCACCACAATTAATCTTATTCCTCGAGCAGCATTTTTTTTTGTAGCAGCATAAAAATAAAATGGTCTTTCATGGCCATTATAAAAAAATAAAAATAGCATTGGCGCCGACAGAAGAGGCAAGCCACGGCAGGCAGTCTGTTAAAAAAAACAGTTCATAAAAGCAATTAAAATGCCAGCTTGTGGCGCCCCCTGTCATGTTAAACGTCCAATGTGCGTAAGAGTCATTCGGAGTCCGGGGTCCTGACCTTCTTGTCGCTCTGTGGAGGGGTCAGGACTCCGCTGGGGACTGGGGCGATTTGGCTCTCTTGCTTCAACTGCTCCCTCTTTGTTTGAGCCTTTTCCTAAAAAATGAAGGCAGAATACATTAGAAAACCGGCTTATTCGACAAGCGCAGGGTGAACAGAAGGATGCCCGGGTATCTTAGCCAAACACACACAGCATGACGTAATTGAAGTTCTTGAATAGGGAGGATGGTTTTCATAACATCTCAGCATGGGTCACTAGATGATGTTTATAGCTATATTTCAGATACACACACACCCCCCCCCCTACTGACTGTAGGGAAATGATTGACAACAAGCAATTTAAGATTTAAAGTCCCCCCCAGCAAGGGGCCCAGGTTCCCCAGGGTGTTATCCCAAGTGCTTGAGCAAGCCCAAGGGGTGGGGGGAGCCCAAGTGCTCCAACAGACCCGAAGAGGACATAGGGGAGCCCCAGTCCACCACCCGAGATGGGAGTCCAATGAGCTTGTAGTTGAACAAACTATTTAGCCCAGGTTCCCCAGAAGGCCCAAAGGGTGGGGGCGCAACCCAAATGCCCCAGCAGGCCCGGGGTTATCCTACATGCCCCAGCAGGCCCGCAGAGGAAGTAGGGGGGAGCCCCAGTATGCCCCCCCATCCTACATGCCCGAGCAGGCCCGAAGAGGAGTAGGGGGGAGCCCCAGTATGTCCCCCTCCCCCCCCCCAAGATGGTAGTCCAATGAGCTTGTATCAACTTCAGATGTGGATGTTTGTACGGTAGTTCAACAGCACCTGAAGATCGATGGACTGCCTGTCATTGCTTCACATAATAGAAAACGCACAACATGACTAACCAGCAGCTGTAAGCAGCCCGTGTGTGTCTGGATGTTGTGCAGGTCCTCGATATCCACCCCTCGGAAGAACTTCAACTTGGACTGTTTCCCAGCATCTCTTACAGCCATGGCGAAAGGCACAATGTATTTTATGCAGTCTTCAAGCTCCGTCCACTCATAACCTGAAAACCAAAACAAGTAAAAAAGTCATACCAGAGTATGCCGATGAGACTTTACACGAGGCAAAAGACAGACATCCTACCTACATTCATTTTATTCTAACTTAAAGGGGTTCTTAACGGGGAATATGTCTAACCCATGGGGGTATGGGAATGAAGGAGGTAAGGGATTGCATCGCTAAATAACAAATTGCACGTAACTGATCACAAAAAGCTTCTGATGTTCTATTATAAAGACCAAAGAAAATGATAAATGAGATCATAACTGGGGATTACACACACTTTAAAAAGACTCGGGCTCTGGGAAATTTGGAAGGAGGGGTAGGGGGAGAGAGCTAGGTGCCCCCAGGCACTAAAGAGGTGAACATACCTGCACAGCAGCCTCCTGAACTCTAACCTCAGACTAGCAAAGTGTTTAGCTTTAGCACTTCCAGACATTTTCCTGCCCTTTCCCTTCTCCTGCAAATACCTATTGGCCAGCGAGGCCATTATAGTAATGAGCCAATAGGGACATGGAGGTGGGTCAGCAAGTTCTGACTTACCCAGAAGTGTTAAAGATTTGCTCATCAGCACAGCCCGGCATTCAGCCGTAGAAGGTTTTTTTTTTTACTCCCATTTTTCCCTATAGGGTCCCTTTAAATGACTTTAAAAGACCCTCAACCCTTTTAACACCCAAATTCTCACCTGACACTTTTTCCACCAGCTCAGCGTTGGAGAAGTGGTACAACGCAGATGCAGCGAGGACGCTGTACGGATATTCTAGGCAGCCGATGTCTAGGATGCACAGGTCTAGCAGCTGCAACAAGATCAGAGCGGTTACTTCCATGGCCCCCCACTGACAGGTCCAACAACAAAACATGACAGACGAGCACCCACCTCCACTATCTGGATGTACGTCTCCTGGGGGTACTGCGGCAGAAGGAAATGCTGCAGCTCTCTGATATAAGCCACTTGTAGGTAGATGTTCAGCCAGGAGACCATCGTCATTGGAGACAAACGCCATTTAAGTGCCTAAAAAGAACGCATGGTGTAAATGGAGCCCTGTCCAAATCATAGGAGTCTATTAAAAGATGGACCAGGTATCAGGGCATGATGGGCATTGTAGCTCTACAGGCACTAAAGAGCCATACTCATCTCTCACCTTCATGATGATCAGCTCCATAGAGATCATCTCATCTTCCGTACACGCGCTGTCTGTGATATAGGCAAACTGATGCAGCTTGGGGGGGTAGATCTCCTGCAAGACAAAACCAAAGCAAGTGGGAACAAAATCACTTCCGGGCCAACAGAAATCAAAATGGACAAACGGTTTCAAACTAGGAATGCACAGATATCGGTTACCGATATTTATCTATCAGTACTCGCCGATAGTGTACTGATACTTCCGCTAGCATGGAGACGGCTTAATGGGCAATGGTGAATCTTGAGTGCCCGGGAAGCCGGCTCCATGCTGACTGCCAATCAGCATTGGACTGGCTTGCCGGCCGTTCAGGAAGCCGACTCCATGCGCTTTGGCCGGATCAGCATTGAGCCGGCTTACCGGACAATAGGGAAGCCGGCTGGTCATTACCCACTGCCCGGCTTCCTGATTGGCAAGGAAGCAGGCTCCATGTTCCCTCGTGGCAATGCAGTGCAGGGGAAATCTCCCTCAGACAAGAGATTCTGGTATCGGGGGAGGTATCAGAGCATTTGGGCAAGTAAGAGTACTCGGCATCGGCCCCAATACTAGTATTGGTATATCCCTATAAACAACCCTCCCCAGGCTGTAGCAGTCTTTATACTGCTGGGTGGCTGGATTATAAATGGCTAGATGCACGGTGCTACCCACCTCCAGCTTGGCGGCAATAAATAATGAGGTGATGCCAATGAGCTGCAAGCCGGATTTCACCACATTCTCTTGCGTGGCCATAAAGCGGTCGAAAAAGTCCTGTGCCAGGTAGAAAGTCTCTCTGTGTAGCTTATAGACTTCACACACCTAAGGGGTAAAAAGAAAGTGGACGTCACACGACAGAAGGAGAGGCGCCAACAACTCATTTCTAGATGACCACTTCCAACTTTTTAGAGTCCCACCATCTTCCATCCAACCGCAAGATCTTCTCACATACAACGAGAACGTTCATTTTGATGTAGGGCGTGCTTTCTGCTCCATGGTTGACGGATATATTCCATATTAAAAGTTTTCCCTCCAGTGTTACCAAGACAAACACTTTGCTGAAAGACGTGTTGGTGGGGTGCTGGACTCAAAGGTGAGCAAATCCAGATCAAGGCCAGGAATAGTTTCGTTCTCCCGACAGTTCAGAAGACCAAGCCAACACATTTTGAGGTCTCAACATTTCCCCCCCAAGCTTTAATGCTGATTATGACACAACTGGAACTAAATCATGGACAGGTGACTGCAGAACACAGATTAAAGCAGGCGACCAGCGATACTACTACTGTAATCTTCACCCGTGTCCAGCATCACCTCTGATCATCTTTCATTACTGATATAAAGCCCCAATGAAAAGGAAGCTCCAAAGCCCCCCC